AAATATTTAAACTAAATTTTTATTTTTAACATTACTCAATCTTTTAACACCTAATATTCATGAATCGTGATACAATAAAATCACATTTTTAATATATCATAATTTCTTCAACATATAAATTTTCAAATAACAGTTTTGGAAATATAGCTATACATCATTCAGTCATTATACCTCCTTTTTTATTCACGATTAATTTAATAAACTCCATAAAAAATATATCACAAATATAATAAATTTTTAATCAAAAAAGCGTATGATATAGCCTATACCCAAGCTATTTGTTTTTGTAAACATGGGCCCAGATTAAAATCATTTATAAACTCAGTTAAATCATATTCAAATAAAATAATTTACAACAATATTATTGAAATTGACCCCTATTATAACTCAAAATACTTATCCTGATTTTTTTTTTAAATTTTTTAAAAGGGGAAAAGCCACCAATCTTTGTTCACCTACCTTTTAAATCAAGGTGTTTACTTTCAACACTTATTATGTAAGTAAATTCAAATTTAAATTCTCTTAAAGCATGGGAAAATCCTTTAACCTTTTCTTTTAAAGTCTTAATTAACTAACAGATAAAAAAAACGTCTTTACAGGATGATATTAGAAATAGAATATATTCTTTTTATGATTTAGGAATAAAAAATTGTGTACCTGATATAAGTGCTACCTCTGACTGTTCCCACAAATGTAAAATAATCTCAAAAGAAATAGACCAAGAGGATGAATGTGGAGCTCTCAAATGGCTTCATCTAATAAAAATTGGCCCCGTACTTTATTAAATGAATTGAATCCTCATATTTTTGCTGAGGATCTCCTAACTCCTATAAAATCTAATTCAATCGAAATAGTCCGGAAGAACTCTTTAAAATAGTTTTATCATTTAATAAAAACTCAGTAGGAGGAATTAACCTTTTGCGACCATCTTCAATTTTTTATTAACCCTAAAAATCCTAGGATGCATTGGTAAGACTTAGCGAAAATATATTAAATAAAGATTTACCTAGCCAAATTCATCAAATCCTTTTTGGCAAGATTAATGGCACTATCTAAGCTTGATGGTGGGGTTCGGCCCAATAAAATAAGATATTTTTTTAGGAAACTAATAGCTTAAGATAATCGTTGAGCACATCAAACCTGATGCTTAAAAATTGTTCCAAAATATCAACTAGGCTTTGGTGCTAAAGGGGGATGCAAAATAGCCGCCCACACTCAGCCTATTTATATCGAAGATCCTAGCTGGAAAAAATTCTTGTACATCTATTTGCTCTCCTCCAGACACCGTAGTCTGTAAGTTGGAGCCTTTCATTGTTTATCCAGAAAAATATTTTTGAACATTTTTTATGAAGAATTTCCAGTGAATGAAAAATTTATTGAACAGCCATATATGGCTGTAGAATCCTTCTCAAATTTGGTGATTATAAAATTCCTTCTGACGAGGGTATTAAACAAGAAAACCCCTTGGCTCCTCTCATATTTAGCTTAGGCATACATAACCCAATTCACTCTTTAAAAACTCTTAACTTGTACATAAAAATATTGTAATTGGATGATGACACTATCTGCGGATTATTTTTAAAAAGCCCAATTTGGTCGATTTTTAAAATCGGCCCTATTAAGATTTTAACCAAAATAATATTATGTAAGCCTCGTCATTTGGCAAATAGATGTCCAAATCCAAATCTTTCTGCCATCTATGAGTAAAAATCTCCAGGCTTGAATAATATATTTTTTATTGTAATTTCAATCGAGCCGTATTTTAAAATCGCCCCGAATCGGGCTATTTAACAACAATACTGCGGACCATCTAAAAATATTTTAACAGCGATAGATTATATCGAATTGAATTATCTAAAAATAGGTCACACTCTAAATACTGCTAAATCGGAAATATACTTTTTTAAATTCAAATGTCCTCAAAGCCCAGGGTTTTAAAATCATTCAGAGAAATTAATCTTCTTGGTTCAAAGCAGTTTTTTCAACTTTAAGGCGTTCATGTGTAAATTATATAAAGGCCTATTGGACTTGAAAATATTTTAAAAGATATGACTTCACACCAAAGTTTTTTTCTTTTAAAAACATATTTACTTCCTTTTTTATTAATAATCGTTTTTTTTAAAGTATATTAGAAAATTTTTAAAATATTAAATTGGAAGATTTTAACTGGTTTATAACAATTACCCTCGAAAATGTAAGGTTTATTTATATCCATTATATCTAGATATCTCTTTCTTCATTTCTGGCATCACGTTTGGTGAACAAGGCCATAATATCCTCTTTTATCACTCCTAAAGATAATCTTTTAAATTCGGCTTGACTGCTGGATATCTTTAGCTTTACCTGAAGTTATTTTACCCACAGTTTTAATACATCATACAATTGGAATATATTCAAATATTACAAAATGATGTCTGTGCTAGTAATTATGAATGTTTGGAAGCATTAGCAGTCGTAAACTAGGTAAACCTTTATCAGATGAACAATTAAGAGTTATCATAGCTCATCGAATTGGATGTAACATAGTTCAACCATATACATGCATAAGATGTAAAATATCAGTTGATTCCAAAGGGAGACGTTTAATTGTATATATAGTCAAGGCAGACATGGAAGGCATGTAGGAATTAATTCAGTAATTAGTCGTTCTCCTACGAGGGCTCGAATGCCAAAAATCCTAGACTGCTAATTTATTATCAGATGATTGCTTAATGCCAGATGGTTTAACTTCTGTACCTTGGTCTTTACGTAAATCTTTAATTTGGGCTTCACCTACGTCTCTTCATTTACAAATGTTGTAAATTCTAATCCAGTTAATATATAGCTGAGAAAAAAAATAAAATATTAATTAACAAATTATCTTTTTTTTTCCGTTTTATCTCTTCCTTTCAAGCTGAACTTTAATTTTTTTTTATAAAATAGGGGATAAAATAAAAACACTTAAATCAGAAACCAAGGAATTTTATATTTTAAAACAAAATATTCAAATTACTATTTTAAAATATAATAATTGTATTTAGAGTAAACGTTTAATCGTTTCTTATATTAATTTTATATCATTTAGCAATTTTTTTATATTGGAATCTATGACTGATATGTGAAATTGAACATACATACAGTGATAAACCATATTTTAATTTTGGTTCTTTTCTTATTTTTGGAATGCACGATTTTTACATGTTGAACTAATGCAAATATGTTACGAATCAGAAGTAAATTTAATACAATTACCAATATTGATATTTTTCAATATCATAGATTTCATCAATATAAAAAGAAAAATCATTCTCGTTTTGTCTAACTCCTATGCTCCTTTTTTACGGCCAAACCTTTTGCGGCAAATGTGAGATTTAGTCATATGCTAAAAGGTTAGAGTCCGGCTTAATGATATATCATTATTGCAACAAGCTCCCTTTATTAGCACACCATTGCCGTGTTGCTTCAAAATCTAAAATGGATATTCAACTTTTTCGCCAAATTCACGAACATGTAAAAAAAAATATTTAGAAAATATTTAGCCAAAATCACGAAAATGTAAAATAATATATAGAAAAATGGCCAAAATCACGAAAATGTAAAAAAAATTGTTAAATACTTTCAGTTTTTGAGCAAACTTTGTAATTAAATAATTGAGCATCTTTAATTAATAAATAAATATATATTCACATATTTAGAATCCTCATTAAATTAGCAATTTAATTATATATAATATATCGATATATAATATTTACTTTAAAAAAAATAATTTTTTTAAATTAATGAAAATATAATAAAGAAAGTATATTACATGAAAAAATAAGAATTGCAATAAAATTAATCCTAATATATAAAATATGGGAAGATTATTTTAAATCAATTATTTATAAAGGCAGCCTAGCTTGATGCCATTAATTATGAACACAAAAGTTTATGAATTAATTTGAAGAAAAATATATTCAAACTCAAAGAACAAATAATTCTTTTAAGTGGATCATACATAAATATTAAAAAGATAAGAATTCTTGTAAATTTTAATGTAGTGGAGTAGATTTCAAGTAAAATCAGATAATTCCCGGCTGAAGGGCGAGTATCCGTTGGCCCGCAAAAGAGGGTTTGGGGGACGGAACCTTCAATTATGGGACGTCTTTTGGAAATGCTCTTTAGTCTCTCGCCCTTGGAAGGGTATGTATATTACTTAAAACAAGGTCATTCGCCGGCAAAGTAAATTATTAATAATTATTGATACCAAGTGACTATTCAAATAAAAATTTTTTTTTTAAATATTATTGATCTTGATTTATCTAGCAGTATTATATTAAATAATTTATTTATATTTATACTATTAGAATCACATTTATATAAATATTTCAGAAACACTATGACATTCATTCATCTATTTACCCTCATAAGCATAATATATTATAAACCTTCAAATGAATTTTTTCGTTTGCTTTTTTTTATGAAACGAAACGACAACACCTTAATGAAGAACTTAATAATATAAGATTACAACCATTACAGCAACTAAGCTACAAATCCATTTCAAAATTTATATTTCTTATGCAATATCTGAATATGAAAAAATTGCGAAACCTTTTTTCCATATCTATAAATCACTTATTTAAATTTTAATAATTCATTTTATAAAAAAATTTGGAATCTAATGTTTTTATTATTTGTAGGAATATGAACAAGGGATTCACCGATTCGTAAAAATACCAATAATACAATTATTAAATTCATACAAACATAAACAATACAATTATTTGATTCGAAAATATGAACCGAATGCGAATAATGCAAATATTTGATTCGATTCATATTTTAGGTATGGTAGAAAGATGTTAACAATATTAATACTCTTCATTTATTCATAAGCTTTTTTCTTTGTATAAAAAGATAAGGTATCATATAATAGTAAATTTTCTTAAAATTTTGTGAGCATATTTATGATTTAATAATTTTTTTCAATAATTAGGCTATAAATGCAATGAATGATATTCAATAATATATTAATATACTAATTCTAATTTGACCCTATGATTGTTTTTACAAAAATTAATAGAAAAATTGTATTTAAAAAAACGAATTAAAAATGTTGACTGATGATAATTGTAAAAAAATTGGTTAGATAACGTATTAATTCAAATATTGTTTTATAAACAATTCGATTATCGCAAAACAATGTCATAAACAATAACTTTTAATAAATTTTATAGAATTCACAATTATATTAATTGTATTAATACATTATAAAATTAAATTTAAGTTTTTTAAAAAAAATAATAATCTAAAACAGAAAGTGTATCATTTCAATTTTATTAAAATCAATACTTCCTACTCCCATTTTCACCAAACATTTTAACAGGATCAATTGGCTCCCCGGCTAAACTATGACCTTGATCTAAAATATTCACTATACTCCCTAAAGGCTGTGAAATGGTTTTATTTTCCTTTTTCGCCTGCAAATAATCACTAAATGATGTCTGCAAAATTTTTATATTACTTGATCCTCTCTTAAAATGATAAGTCACCGCGGACTCCTTTTCAATTGATTTATCTTTATTTCTAGTTTCGAAGCTATGCCCCAGCAAAGTTGAGGTGTGATTATGATTATTTTCTTCGTCGCTAAAGTTGGAATAAGCGAACGATTTCTGTGATGGCTTGTAAGATCGAGTACATTTTAGGAGCGGTTTACATTTAAAGCAAATTAGGGATAGGATAAAAATAGCAGCGGATATCGTTAAAATTCCGCTTATAGTAAGCCAAAGAGAGGGACTTTTTTTAATTTTAACGGCGCCTTTTAGAGTAGGAACAGTTAATTTAATCTGCTTAGGTTTAATAGCGGTTGTTATTCTTATGAATTGTGAATTTGTTAAGTTTGGGTTCATATGATTGTTAGAAATATCAAAATTCGTAAAGGGTTTGGTTAAAGTGACGAAATCAGCCATAGGTGAAGTTTGTATAGTTGATATTTTTGAAATATCTGTCATTTCATCTAATGTAGTTGTATTGGTGTCCTCTTCATCATAGTCATCATCATTTACAGTACTATTTGAGGTTGAAACTACATATATTTTTTTAAATAGTTACATTTTAATAATTTATTAAATATAACTAATGTGTATGTATAATATTATATTAATAAAAAAAAGGCTTATATTATAATAAGTAGTAGGCCTTTAAGCTAATCAAGATTTTATAAATAAGAAATTTCTTTTAAATACATAGGACCTTATAAAGTTTAGAATGATGATCAAGAAATTATATAAATAAAGAATAACATTAAATTAACTTAATTTTTCAGATTAACAAAAAAACAGAATATAATTTGAAATTTATGCAAAATTACAGGCTTGATAAATTTTTAATTGCCTCCCATAAAATTATTTTAAAATACTTTGTTTGTAATACAAAAAAAAACAATACAAGAATTTAAAATTATAAATTTTATTTAAAAAAAATTATATTTGCAATACAAAAATAAAAATAATCATAAAAAAATATTAAAATGCTAATTGAGCCCCCCCCCCCCCAAAGTATATTATTTATTGGCGAATGCATCAAAATTAGAGTTTTCATTACTCATAAAATGAAATGTCGTTACATATAACGTTACTTTACAAAAGTGCTATCGTCGCTAAAAAATTACGTTACTTTTTAAAAAATATAACACCATTAATATTGTTTTTCAAAGTTTTTATTCGATTCTCAGCGTTGCATTCGCTGTATTGAACACCCGTTCAATAGGTTCCGTGAATGGATAGCAAGAGTATGTCATATTTTATAAATAAACAAGGTTTTAATATTTAGAAATTGTTTAAGGTTTTTCAAATAAAGAATATCTTTAAACCTAAAACATCGCTAAAATATAAAGTAAAGAATAATATAGATACAAAAACGAGTTGTTTTTTTTAAATAGTAACGCTGTTCAGTTATTATAGCTAATTTTTGGGGAAAAATATATCCTTAATTTTTTAAGGTTGGGTGAAATCTCTTATTTTTGAACCTAAATTTTTTAAAAATTGAAGAGAAATTAATTAATGAAGAGCTAACTAGTAGTAGAAAACGTCATATTGGGAAAATGGAAACGTAATACATTGTCATTGACATCATCAGTGCCAGTTTGGTTGTCAAGATTATTTAAGAGGGGAAACTCTTCCAACTCCGCTAATGTTAAATTTGCTATCAGTTTGCCTATCATGACATCCGGGCTACTGCATATTATCTAACATTTAAAAATAAAATGACAATTTTTTCAAGAAAATATCGACAATTTAATCTTTTGTGAATATAATATAAACCCTTCTTTTAAATGAAAGATTTATATACATAATTATATATATAATTGTCACCAAATGCTATCTTTTCTCTTTAATTTAAAAAAATTATTACTAACATATAGAAATCTATAAAAACATAACTTATTACCAAATAAAATAGTAAATAAACCTTTTCCTTGGAGGAAACCTTTATAATAGGATCGTTGAGAATACTGATCAACGGTAATATATTTAGATTACAATGCCAATTATTTTTATCGATGTTGAGCTCAATCAGTTTTGGAAACATGGAGGGAAACTGGCTAGGTAGATGGGTCAGATTGTTGTTATCTAACTCTAATTCATTCAGATTAGAAAATATTAAGTATGGGTCAGGTCCATTTATATGGAAAAGTAGATAATTTGCTAGTCGGGAGCTGTTACTCAATGTAAGTACCTTTATTATATAACGATTAAATAAATCAATAGTAAATTAAATGGTTGTATTTTTAAAGTTTGAGGGAAAAAAATCCAAATCCTTTTTAAAAGATGTGACATTTTAAAAAATGGATGTGAGGTTATAATGTATTTAACAAAAAAACTTCTTCGAGGATCTGAGAATTTTTTTGCGCTCAAAATTCTGAGCAATAAAAATATAATTTTTTTTAAGAATTTCTAAAACTATTGTAATTTTTTACGTGTAAAAATCTTTATGATTGAAATCGTAAAAAATCTTTAAACAATTTTCATTTTTTTAAAATTTCTATTACGATTTTGTATTTTGAGCAGTGATAATCGCGAACCTTGATTTGACATTTCTTAATCTCAAGGAAATACAAATTTAATGATAAAAAAATGTCCAGGTTAGACTTGTTCTTGATGTACCTGGCTAAATAGCGTTTGAATTAGGACACCATTTTTGGTGGCATTGTCATTTTTCCTCTTATTTTTTTTTTAGTTTGTTTAGTTGAAGCTATATAGCTGCCTAAATAACCAATTGTTTAGTAATAAATAGAACCAGGATATACCCTAAATGCAGGAAAACGTAACAAACGGGAATATAAATATTTAAATTATATAAGATTTCTAGGAACAGGAATTCTAAATGACATAACATGAAATCTGAGAATGTCAAATAGGGGTTTTATAATGAATATCGAAAAATTAAGTCGTAATCAAAATGAAACCTCTAGATTGCCGGTAACGTCTCTAAAAAGGTTCAAATCGATTTTGTAATAAGTTCCCATTTTTACCAAGTCCATTATTTCCTTGTAATCGTCGTAATTATCATTCGATGAACTCTCGCCAGTATGATAAACACTAGGTTTCCCATCTTTTTTGCCATACCCCTCCTTTCTAGCTAACATTGCCCTTGTCAGGTAAGTATGTAAATCAGAAGGTTGAATCCAGCTGTTTCCAGAGTTCGACATTTTCAATATTTTGAGACTTTTCAGCCCTTCAAAGCATTTATCCTCCGAGATCTGAAGAGGATTTTTGGAGAGCGACAACATAGTGAGATTGGTGAGAGAGTGGAATTGTCTTTTATAAAGTAAAGAAATGTAGTTTTGTTGAAGTGTCAAGGCCTTTAGGTCGGTACAACAACCCTCGAAGATTGTTGTAGACAAGTAATGTATATTGTTATTTTGAAGGCTGAGTCTAGTAAGAGCGTTAAGACCCTTAAATTCTGAATCGTTTAAAAACGGACCAATACGATTATTATGTAAATAAAGGTATACCAGAGATTCTGGTAAATGCTTTGGAATCTGTGTTATTAAAATATACATTATTAGTGTATTTTAAAAAAACCAGCTAATGAGTGGTTTGATTTAAAAATGGTACAATATGACTTTTGAGGGCCCATATCTCAGCCGCTAAAATTTTAAATTTCTATTAAAAATATATTTATTTAAATTTGTCGAAGAACTAAGTCGAATTCGGGTTCTGCCTGTAGGGAGGGGCATTTTAGATCTTAGTCATTGGGGGGTGGGTCTCAGTGATATTGAGTTAGGGGAGTCTAAAGGGCGGCTGAATCACCTATTTGATGTTGTGGAATCTACTATATTATATCTAATCTCCATCTTGTTACAAATGCTACAAATTAATTTTTTAACATATATATATTATAACCTGCATTATATTGTTATCGTTAAGCCATAACTTTGTTAAATTGAGTAACCCTGATAAAGTGTCATCTTCTATTGCACTAATATTGTTGTTATTCAGCCATAGAGATTCCAAATGAAAATAATTTTCGAAATTTTTATAGCCTTGTAAATAATTTATTTTATTAATAATTAAACAAACATAAATAAACATGTTTGTTAACAAATAAAAAATTAACTTAACGAGTTTATTACTAATTAAATTATGGGAAAAATAATTATTTCTACAAGTACCTTCCTCTCACCCTATTCATTTTTAAGAAAATTGTAACAGCTGATAGAATAGATCGTTTTATTGAAAAGAAGGGGAAAAATATAAATTATATTATAGTATTATGTAAATCAAGCAAAAAATTTATAAAATTTATCTGTTTCAAACCTTAAAAAGGGATTGTAGGCCCACTTTTTACCAACAAACATAAAGTAACTTCCTATCTCGACTTAACGTTTATTTTTATATTTTCTAAATTCCATTAAGAATAGCAGCCTGGAGCCATTTTTCTAAAATGATATCTTTAAAAGATGCAAAACTAAAAATTACTATTCAGAGGAGTTATTTTAAATTTTAAAAAAGGCTAGCTAGGACTATAGTTGGATAATGAGTAAATGTGTGCTAATTCGGCTCAATCTTCTGGCGCTTGTCGGAGAAAATCTTTAATATTAAGGTGTTTTAATTTATAATTTGAGTTATCTTTTTAAGAAAGACCTCGAGGCCAAAGTGATAATTTTCGGAGAAAACTTGGTTTAATTGACTTAAATGACTCAAAATATAGTAATTACCCAACTATAGCTAGGACACAGCCTAAAAAATGTTTAGTTCATAATTATCGAAGAAACATTTAACTTCTTTTTATAGCTTTGATTTATAATATTCGTTATAATCTAATAATTGGAAAATTGAATACGATATTGCTAATTCATATTCGACAACAAATATGAATGTAAATATTCTTTTAAAAAATGATTCATATATCAAAATATTCAATTCATTTTTTTAAAGTTCTAAGTATGACTAATATTTAATCAGAGTTTGAGGATTAAAGGGGCCTCAAAACGTTTTAAGTAAAATCCTTATAAAAGATATATTTTTTGGCCAGAGGTCTTCAAGCAAGAGCATTGTTAGGCTTCTCGGATGAATCGAATTACTATTAAATAAATTACCTAAACTAGTTATATTATTATAGGCAACTCTGATTTCTTTTAAGCCCGAAGGGAAGAACGAAGGAAATATTTGTAACCCATTCTCGGATATATCCAAATATTGCAAAGTGTCGTTTATATGGTTCCCGAATTCTAAGTCAGAGGAACCTAATTTATTCGATCCCAATTTCAATCTGATTAATTTGGTCAATTTTACGAAAGCGAAGGATTCGATTTTGGAGATATTGTTGGTATCCAAAAATAAGTATCTATTTTTTTAAAAAATATAGATACATTATATAATATTCATAATTCAAACAAACATGAAATGTTAATATAGCTATCTATCGCTCATAATTTAATATATTATTAAACATACTTTTTTATTTATTTTTATATACCTTAATTCTTTGCACCCAGCAAATGTGTCATTGCTGACAAGGGATAATTGATTTTTGGATAAATTGATATGGAAAACTTTAGGCAGTTTGCTTAACGAATTTCCTATTGTGTGAATCAAGTTATCGGATAGGCTTATATATTTGAGCTTGTATAACGACAGGAATACGATATCTAACCGTAATAATATTTTTAATGTCAAAAATAATAAAGGGAATATAAAAGATAATAAATTGATAAATAAATTGCAAATTATCATTTATACTAATAAAACTATTTTACAAACCGTCAATTTCGGTTATTTTATTCGAACTTAAATCTAACGAATTGAGATTGGTTAGGCCAAAGAAGCTAGTGCTTGAGATGTAAATGATATTGTTATTTTTCAATTTCAAATCTCGTAACTTTTTCAAATTAGATATTTTCTGGTTATTGAATACGGGTATTGAATAGTTTTCGACGGATAATCGGGTAATCGTAAATTTGATACCTGTATTAAAAGAAAATGATTTTATAAATTAATATTATTTAATTGTTCGTCAAGTCCTAGTCCATATAATATTATTCTTAGTCTTTTCGGGAAATTATTGACCATCTTGAACTGCTCAACCCTCTCTCCCTCCGAATCAAAATCCTAGATAGGCCCAGAGTGGTATGAATATACAAACCCAATACATTACAGCGAATGTATCAGCGTGAAAATATTATCGTGAATGTATTACAGTGGATGATCCTTATTGGATTCCATCACAGATATAGACGATAGGTGAGATATGTAATCAACGACTAGTCTATAGCCGCTACTCGAAAACAACAATTTTTTTTATATAAGGATAAAATACGACGCTATCTAGTATTTTAATAAAAACACATAAAAATCAATAACGTTCAACTCTATATATCCTAAAAAAAATTTTATTCATAAAAAATTTTAAAATATTGGTATTAATAGTAATCAAATATAAATTATTAAAAATGATTTTAACTAGAAAATTAAATTTTTATTTTTATTAGTTTAACATAAAAATTTTTAAAATATTGATATAAATTATTAAAAATGATTTTAACTAGAAAATTAAATTTTAAAATGTTATGCTAATATTCTACAAAGAAAAATACAAATATAAATCATTTAAAAATATATATAAACACATTTCAAAAATTAATGTTAACTATTTTTAAAAAATTAATAATTAAATTTAACCGATATGAACTTGGTTCAAACGCATATAAAACGTTTTCTCCGTTTGAAATTTTTTTTGTAACAGTTTGCAAAATTTATAACGGGTCATTCCCGATTTACAATTTTTTAAAATAATTTTATAATTTTTTTGCTCAAGTTTGATAATTTGTTTTCACGATTTCTTCCCCAGTCTAAACATTACCTTTTCTGCTTATTAGCTTATAATTTATTTCGAAGTTTGAGCTACGCCAATGTTCGGCTGATATGATGTTAAGGATGGCTCTGGCCATTCCTGGGGCCTGGTTTATATTTTCAATTTTCGTATTGGTATTTTGGATAAAAACATAACGCAATGATTTTTTTTAATTTAAAGAGTAGAGTAATAGCTCTATTTTTAGGAGGCTTGATAAATGATAACTTATCACCTTTACTTTACGTGTTGTTGCTCAATCGATGCATAATTTATAAAATACATAATGTAAAATTACACAGCTATGCTATCGTATAGTCGTTTTCGTGAATCGCGGTGGTTAGAGATCTGCAATAGTAAACCCGGCCAGAAACCGGGCCTATTTTTAAAAATAAATTCGGTTTGAGCAAAGTGAATATATTTTAAATATTTTTTTCAAGATACAAGGCGCCAATATTTTTTTTTGTTTGAAGAATGATCAAAAACTCGATTATATTTAGTTGCAAAATTGTATTAAAAAAAATAATTTCTATATTTAATTACATTCGGGCCGGGGCTGGTGGACAAATAATTTATATTTAAAATGGAACTTTTCGGAAGGGATCGGGTTGGGCAAATTTTTTGAACAAAATTTCGGGCCAAGCCTAACTTGAAAAATAGAGCCCAATGAATATCATTAATCGCGCAGTATTTCTTGCTTTAATATAAACAAGGCCACTACTTATCTCAATACTTTGGCATGGACCTGTATATTACGCCGAATATTGCGAATTTTTAGCCTTACCCCAACTATTGCAGTTGCTAAAAAATCGGCTAAAACGATTCCTTATCCAAAAACTATCACTCTGGCCTAGAGAAATTGCTTAAGAAATTAGCAGCTCAAATTTGTAAAAAAAACAAATTATAAATTAAAACGTATTAACGGATTTTCCCTGGAACGCACTTAAGAAATTAGCAGCTCAAATTTGTAAAAAAACAAATCTAAATTGAAACGTATTACTGTAAATTGAGCCATTAGTACCAGACTATACTCATGGAGATATAGATTTGAAATATTTATTTTATTTTTACAAAATTTTTTCCATAGACAAAAAAAATTATTACTTTCTAAAAAATAATTACTATTCGATTCAATTTAATTTAAATTAATATTTATTGAGTTGTTTATTATTTTATTCCAGATCAAAAAATAGACGTCTCCAAAAAAATGTAGGCGCCCCTTTTGTAAAAATAAATTGTAAAAGATTTAAAAATGTAAGCAAAGCAAATATACTATTACTTTTACAAAATTAATTTTAAAAAATTTAAAATGGAGCCTATTTTTTTTCCCTTATATTATTCATGTTAATCAAAATCACAATAAGATTATTATTTTAATTAACTCCAGTTCGCCAGTAGGAGTAGGCAATAATAAAGTATGAAAGAAATAAGAAAATGAATCGAGTAAATTTTTCTTGGATTATAAGCCCAAATGATTTATTTATTTTTGATTTTTTTAGCACCGCATTTAGGTTGTGTCCTGGTTTGAATTAATTTTTGATACTTAATGTGGTTTAACCTAGTAGGATAAACAGCTTTTAAACTAAGACACCATGTTTAGGCTTGTTTTAAGTGTTTTGTGGCTTTATTATTTTTCGTATTTTCTTTTCTCTTTTTTTTAATTTTCTTTTTAGGCTGTTTCGTCAAAACTAAATATCCGTCTAAACGTTGGCCTGTTGTATAATAAAGGCCTGTGTTTTAATTCGTCTTAATGTGTTTTATATTCAATTCAGGAAATCAGCATGGGCACCCTTATTTGAATAAAAAATATCAAATCAAAGGTCTACTTATTTCCTATTTTTCTAGCCTAAAGATAAGTTTCAGGATTTTAAAAGGATGCAGTCTAAGTGCTTCAACAATCCTATTGAAGTAAAAACATCTTAAGACATTTAGACAAAAATAAAGTGGCAGACGATGATCACGTAGAAACTATCACAAAATTGAACAGATTTTTTTTATTTTTTAAATTGGTTTTGATTATTTACATTGATTTATTGGTCATTTTAGCATTTAAAAATTGATCATATTTAGAATGTGTAATGTAATAAAAAATAAATAAATAAACAATTTTAACTGATTAAATATAGTTTAGTGTTAGCTCTTATCATTTAAGGCCTTTCTAAAAGCAATATTGTAAACTATTTATCCTTTATATTTTTCTTTTCTTTTTATTTACAATGAGCGAGGAGAGCGTCAAATGAAATTAAGATCCTAAAACTCTTATTCTATGATTACACAACCCTCCCCTCTCCCGTTGTTTTTTTTTAATCAGCCAATCCGTCATTCTTCATTGTTAGTTTAAATTATAAAATATGCAATTATTTTTAAAAATAATTTAGCTAGTAAAATATTTTAAGCCCTCCAGCCAATTTTTTAAAAAAAAATTTGCCTGACTGCCTTGCTCATTTTTAAAATTTTCATCCTTTGCAACTAAAAACAGGAATAGAAGGGGGTTTAAAATCCGTTTAACTATTTTGCCCGACTCCAAGTGGCGTGACTAGCTTTTAACTGAGGGACGGGGGCTAGCAAAACTCAAAAGTATTTAAGGGGCTTGAACCCGTTTGCATCTTCCCCTAAGGACACTACTGACTCCCCTAACCTAAAAAATCATATTTTCGTAAGAAAAAAATCAACAATTTTTTTAAATATAAATTTTGAAAAGTCAGCCAAAAAATACGATTTTAGTTTAAAAAACATATTTATTTTTTTAATTTTAAACTTGCGTTAAATTTTTTTTGCACAATTGTCCGACCCTGGCCCAATACAGACTAAAATGAACATTAATGGGCAGTGGAAATAGTCATTAAATGAACCAGACCAGCAGGCCTGACTCAGAACGGGCAAAAAATGGTATTATTTTAGGCAAGGCCTGCCCGATTTTTAAAAAAAATTAAATAATTTATATATATTATTTAGCTGGGAAATTTAAGAATGGTGCGTTGGATATTCATTATTGTACTGCTCATATTCTCAATTCCCCCTTATAGCAAAACTCCAAAAATTTCGGGACGAATCAACTAATAAAGAAATCCCAGACTGGGGTTGAAGTAGAAGCGGTACCTTATAAAAATTTATATGGGGTATGCGTATTTTTTATAAGAAAATTTGTTAATGGGTAAAAAAATTTTGTATAGGCCAAAGCCCCGCTGCCCTATGAACTCGGCATCAATGGTTCAAAAATAAAATACTTTTCAAATTGGGCCCGTGTAATGTACCTTTGGAGAGGGAAGGCTTTTGGCTTGTATACCTATAATACTATTTACAATTTATAGTCTTATTTCTTGTATCAACTATCACTATTCATCATATAATAAATTTTATTTTTTTAAACCTGATGGTATTTGCTTAGAATAAGAAGGGTCTCCGACGCATTTCACGAAGCCTTGAATATAAGAGCAGGTACAATTTTTGGGGCAATATGGACCGGCCGTTAAGATGAAGCCATCTAGATATAATAGTACGATTAGGATAAATAATTCAATATGAAAAGTGGTGCTATTTTTTGATAACGATTTCATCAAAATATTTTCTCGTATTTTTGGCATATTATAAAATTCATTTATTTAAAAAAAATAATTATGATTTCCAAAATCACATAGGTTCAACTCATCTATCATGCGTATAGATTATTCTTTTTTTAAATTTCATAGCTTTATATTTTCGTAAATAAAAAAAAGATCACCGAAATTTTTGAAGAGAAAACAGAAAAAAAAGGCCTTTTTTATATTTAAAATTTTAATATAATTATAAATATTTATTATATTTTTTCGAATTATTTTTGAAATTACATTATTATTTACAAAAAAAACAAAAACATTATTTTTCTTTCTATCCTTGCAACTGCAATGCAAAAGCCTCATATAAAATAAAAAAAATGTAAACTTTTCATCTGATACTTTTATATATCTCATTCTCATAATTATTTATTATAATATTTTTTTTTATAAACAACATATTTTTCTTTGCGTTTTTTAAACAAATTATATTTTTTTGGAGAGGTAATGTTATTTTCCCAGTAATTTATTATTGAAAATGAGAAGAAAAACTTTGATAACGTTTAGATTTAACCGGCTGGACCACTTATGCAAACATTTTTAATGGGCCAAGCTTTGCAACTATTTACGATTCCCATTATTATTTTATTTGTAATTTAATCCATTTTATTAATGTTATCGAAATTATGTAAAGTAATTAGAATAACATGTAAACTGTATGCATATATGATAACATATTTAGGGAAAAATAAAATTTTTTTTTTAAAAATAGTCATCCTCTTATGATGACCATGAATTTTTAAATAATTTTTAAAACAATATTTCGAAACTGATTTTTTGTAATCAGAAGGGCCTTGTTTTATGGCTCTTATTAGTTCCATTATGGATATAGCCTCTTTCCCAAATGATCAGTTTGTTGAAACCATAATGGGTATAAATATATTGTCGGCTAGATGTAAATTTTTTTTGAATTTCCTTTAATAATATTAATTTTACCATATTAATTTTTTATAAACCCTTTCTGCAACTTTTTATATAATCTACTTTTTATTATACCATAGACGATGATGTATTTAAGAGACTAAAACATTGATGGTAAATCATTTCTCTGGGATATATAATAAGTTCACATTATATTTTCATACAGGATATTCATTCATTTAAGCAAGTCCATTTAGGATAATTTTATAATTATATAAAAATCTTCTATGTAAAAAAAAATGAGCATTCAAAATGTTGAGTAAAATCAAATATTTAGTTCCGTCATTCAGTAATTTAATAATTGGGAACTTAGCTATATGGTTAACTTTACCCAAACCCAAGTGTAAGTGATTTTGAATTTATTTAACCATCTATATTTAATTTTCGAGTCAGAAGTAGAGGCTTAAAATATGTAGTGTAAACGCAATAAAAAAGTGAGATATCTATAACCATAACAACTAGTTTTGTCAAACAGCTCGATTTGAGCCGATTTTTATAGACGGATAACTCAATAATTTAGCCAGAAAAATATTGTCTAGGTAGATGTCCAAATCTTTGTTCCATCTAAGAGCAACGTCAGGCTTGTATACATTTTTGTTAAATAAAATATTGAGTTAGCCATTTTTTAAAATCTGCTCAAATCAAGCCGTTTAACATCTAGGGGGCGCAGTCCATATCTATTTTGGGTAGATTCTGTAAAAATTCTGGTATAAGGCTCAACTATTTTTTTACTGGGTTTCGAGGGTGGAGTCATAATCTTAATTGCATTTAAAAGTTTCTGTTTCCATTTTTGTCAAAAAAAGAAATTTTTTCTTTCGTTTGTTTAAAAAATCTTGATTTTATAGTTTAATAATTATAAAATTTTAAAGTTTCGCTTTTAATTTGGGCACAAAATTTAAATTCAAAATTTGAAAAAAATCCAAATTTTATTTTTAATATTTGATTACAGAGAGATTTTTAACGCATAAAAATTACAAAAGATTTAGTTATAGGTAGATCTCTGCTCCGACGAAACTATCAGCGGCCAGTAAGAGTTTCAAAACTCGAATCGAGGGCTGGCATTTTTAACCGCCATCAACCACGGCGTAAATCGGCGCACCGTTATGAAACACTACAGAAATCTCGGCATAATATTTGATCATTATAGAGAAAACTCATTATAAATTCAAAATCGATTTTGTAAGTTTTATAATTATCAGGTATAAAAATAATTTTATTCAAATTTTACGGAAATAATGATGATCTTCTTGAATTCAACGTCAAACTAGCAGTAGGGGAAACTCTTGCACTAAGTGTGCTAGTTGCCGGAACAAAAAGTATTTTTTTTAGCTAGCGCGAAAAATTCTGGTGATTAATTTTGTTCTATTATATACTTTGACACAATTTTCAATTTCTGACATCTTAGGTCTAGAAGAGAAGCCAAGATATAGATTATAAAAAATTAATTAAATAAATGAATATGTTATATTATTATTTGCAGAAACAAATTGGAAATCATAACTCAAGGTTTTTAAACATATTTTCTTTTAGGGAAATTATTTCTGAGCTAGCATTATCATCTGATATTACATTTGTTTCAATTTAACTTCTAAAAAGTGATGCTAAGTAAAATAAATCTTTTTGGGCACATAAAAATTAAACTGTTACTTTAAATATTGAAAGAAAAGCTAATATAAGTCTGATTCATAGTTGAGATAGTGTTTCCTAATTCTTTTCAAAATATTATTTAAATTTTTTTTATTTCCCAGATATGCTTTCAAGCATAATTATTATACTAAGCCACCTAATTGGGGCATTTAATTTTAACGTTTTCTATGTGTGCCATTATTGTTATTATCATCATTGGAATCCCCCAAAAAAGGATATGAGGGTATAGATCAGTACCATCAATATTTAGCATATCTGATGTTAATTGTACATTATCTTTGATTTGCCCCGAACTTAAATTCAATTCTGCATTTTATATCTTAAAGCAGTAATAATTTCTCTTATTCTTTTGATAAGGTTTTCAACAAACGATACACTGTCCGCTGTAACAAGATTAGGTAAACCATAAACCAAGCATATGTGTTGTTCGCATTCTATTTCTAACATTGGGTCTCCATTTTAAAAATATGTATAATTATTGTAACTTATGTAATTTTAGATTTTTGATTGATTGAATTCTAAAATGATGTCTAATTATGATGAATAAGTATAAAATAAGAATTAACCAAAAACCTGTTTGGTATAAAAGTTTAGTGATGTTGACCAATTATTAGATTAAATGTATAAAATATGAAAATTATTTTTAAAAAAGTTTTACGCCGCCCAACGGTCAACCGGCGCACAGGTCTACTTATATGTAAAATTTGATCAAAAATCTCTTTCCTTTTTAAAAAAATACTTTCTTAAAAAAAAACTCTCTTTAAATCAGGATTTAATAATAAAAAAAATTTAAATGAGCATTTGAAGATTTTTTTCGCTCAAAATTTTGAGCAAAAATCTTTGAATATCAATAAAATGGAAGATTAATTTTTAAAAATATTTTTAAAAAGATCAAAAATATTTTTAAAAAGATCAAAAATATTTTTACAAAAATTTGTGATTTCAATCATCTGAGAATTTTATGCATAATAATCACATAAAAGATTTTTTTACAAAATATATTTGAAATTTTAGGTAAGGTGTGATCAAATATCCTATTTGAATATTTACAAAAAAAATACTCTTTAAAAAAATCTTTAATCAACCAAATCGTTTAAGATTTTTTCTTTTAAGCAATTGTTAAACTCTTGTTCAAATTAGGCATATAACCAATTGAGTAAAGCATTTTATAAAAATTAATTATACGGTTCTCTAAACCAAATTTTTCTGACATAATATAGGAGGTAGCTAAATTTTTATTAAAAAAATAAATTAATTAGCAAACTTTTATCGTATTAGAAAATCTTTAATAAAATTTTCTTTTTATATAAAAAAATTCTTATTTTAAAATTTTGCTTTTAAAATTATCTAAAAATATTTATCTTTAGCAAATACAAATAGAAAATATAAAAAAATTTATGATGATTTTCCGAATAATTTAAAATTCACTTTTTTGCATCTAAAATAAAAAAAATTACAATAAATTGTAAAAAAAATCTAAAAATAACGCCATCGTGAGTATATATATTTATAGATAAATTATAAAATAGTATTGAAGTTTTTTTTAAAAAATATGATTTTTTATATATAATAAGATATCTATTATATAAAAATAAATAGATTACAAATAACGCAAATAAAATAATTTAATTACATTTTTCATTCTTTAATATACAATAGAACATGTAAGAGAGTATAAAATGTCTTATTAAAATAATATAATCATACCATCTGTATGAGAGTTTGAAGCCTGAAGCTTTGCCCAATTTCATTTTATTTAATTGGTCTTTGAATTTTTTTTATTATAATCACATAAGGTGATATCAAAACAAAATTTTGTTAGCTCAATAAAACATTCAATATCTTAAAAAATCAAACACTATTATCCTTTTTACATAAAATTTAATTTCTAAATAATAATATTAGCTAAATTATGGTTAAAAAAAATTGCAAGGGACTTGTAAAGAACATGGGCATACATTCCAACAGCTTTATTCTTATGTCAATGAATTAAAATCCTAGAAAGGCTTCAAACTTTGATCTCTGTAATTAATTATTGTTTCAAAATTTATAATATATATATATATACTATTAAATCTTAATTATTTATTCAAAGATTCTTTAAATTCATAAATGATTGTATATGTATATAAAAAAAAATATACACACATCTGTAAATATATATATTTATTTGTATCCTACCTTAATATTTATAATAACCTATATATTTTAATAAAAATGCTAAATAAATTTTGAATAGTTTGCTTATTTATTCAAAAATGGCCACAATATTACTTTATAACAAATATATTTACAAAAATAAATACACTAAGTTATAATTTCATTAAATATATCTCTTCTGTCATTGATTGTAGATACAATCTAAAATATTATTAAATTTATAGATAAAAAAATATTTTTTACTGGCTCTCAGATGGCACCCTTTTCAAAAAGTCAAAAGTCTTTCATCCAAGAGAGCATTTATTTTTGAACCAGTAGCCTTTGGTGTAATTTCTTTATGACCAAAAGTGTTCAGTAGTTTTTCTTTCTTTTATCTTTGGCTCCATGAATTTGATATATTCATACCATTTGTATGAAAGTTTGGAGCCAGAAGATCCAGATGCTCTGCCTAATTTTATTTTGTTCAATTCTTTGAAATTTTTTCCCATCTCCAAGCTAATAAAAATATAATTTATCATTGTTCTATTATTTAACCTAAACTAATGGTTGATAAACCATCTAATACTAGTATCGAATTTTTATGGTCTGGATTCTGCTGGTTGCATACCATATCTTGACTTTCCAATAAGCTACAAAATTTTTTTGTAATTTTATCATCCCATTTTCTAAAATGTTAATAATATCAATTAATATTTTCTAAAATTATATAAAACATAATTTAATATATTCTAAAATTATATAAATATCAATTAATATATTATAATTGATATAATATCAATTTATATATGAGATAAATTATACTTACAATTTTGTATCCATTTTCAAATTTTAGAGCAAAATTAAAAAAGCATAAAAAAATCAAACCAAAAATCAAACCAGTTTGCCTTTTTTTTAACGCTTGCCGTAAAAAAAATCAATCTGCACAAAACCATCGGGAAACCGCCCCCCCCCCCCCACTAATCAAAATTTTACAAATATTTGAATATCAATTTTCCAACATATTATTTAAAATTATTAATAAAATGGAAATATATTTAGTCAAAGAGATTGAAATCAAACGATAATTAATAAATAAGGCTGAGCATGAAAAAAAGTAATGTGTCGTTAGCAGCGATTTCATTATTGTATTCAACTGATCAATCAGAGTTTATCATTGCTGCTAGTTGCATCAATAAATTATTTTCCTATAGCTCACTACTTTGTAGAGATATACAAAAACCAAATTTAGATTTGGTTCAGGTTATTGATTTGGCGGAAAATATACATGAACAGGTAGATACAATAAGAATGAATGTAGACGTTGAATCGAAGGCTAAATTTTATGATATAATACTAATTAAACCTCGTCTAGCACCTAGGCCATTATTGAGATGAAAATAAATATTGGCTCAACTGAAGAATATTATAAAATATCCATTTTCATCCCATTCTTTGATACTTTTTTATCGCAAATAAAAGTACGGGTTTTAGATAAAAAACAAGTCTTTAGCAATCTTCAAGTTTTATTACCCAAAGATCCTTCTTCATTTTCTAATGCCACTATTGGTAAAATTAAATATTTAGAAAAATTTTATTCCTATGAGATTGATACTGAAATAAATTTAATCAGTGAATTCGAATTGTGGTATAAATATTTATACGTTTAGCTATTTTACCTGAGCATGCTAATGATGCGCTCAATCGGTGTAAAGAAACCTTGGCTCAATTTCCTAATATTTCGAAGTTTTTTTATATTCTTGCATGTTTGCCTATTACAACATGTACGAATGAAAGGACTTTTTCCAACTTGAGAAGGTTGAAAACATATTTACGAAGTGCTGAATCTCGGCTAAATGGGTTAGCTCTGTTAAATAATCCCAGAGATTTGGTTCCAACGACAAACGAAATAATTAAAAATCTTGTATTTGATAAGAAGTTAAAAAAACTTGTTAATTTAATTATTTTCTCGTCAATATTTTAAACTACTATTAGTATTTTCAATAAAAAAATTATATTCTACTTATATTGTATGAGAATTTAAGCTGAGGCTAGTTTTTAAAGCAAATTTTATAAAAAAAATGACATTACACTTTATTTCAACTTTACATTTAAAAAAACCTTTACATTTAAAAAAACTTTATTAAATATAATATACCTAACTTGAAATAATAAAAAAGAGGCTTGTAATATCCTATCCATAAGCACGAATTAGTAAATAATAGTTAAAAATAGAAATATAATTAAATTATGAATAATTTAATGAATAGCTAAATAAGACCCGGCCGAAGGCCGGGGAAAGCTGGCCGAAGGCCAGGTAAAAGGGGTTTGGGGGCGAAGCCCCCAAAAATTTTTCCCCCCCCCATAAGAAAATCCTGGATACGCCACTGTACTGTAATAAACATATTAATTAAATAATATCATACATTAAATAATCTAATGAATTAGAATTAAATTTGACTTTCATTTTTCCTTCAATTGGAATAAATGAATGATATTTTTGTGTCCCGGGAATTCGTTTGGCCGTTGTTTCTATTCTTAAATATTCAACGTAGTTGACAAATATGTAATTAATCCCGGGGATATTAATTCCCGCATAATTATATATATCCATAGGAGTTAGTATATGATTTTCATAAGGACGTTGCAGACTTGCTCTAGCCGCCAACCTCTTAGTAATTCCCCCTAAACTATCGCAAGGAGTTTTGCCATGTGCAATTGCAAAATAGGCCATTCTGCCTTGATTCCAAATTCATTATAATGGTTGTAGAGGTTTACAAAGTTTTTTTTGTTTTTATACTGAGTAACAGCTCCATCAGAAAAATAAAAAATTATTTAAATTTTATCAAATTTTTCTGTCAAGAATAGGATTAATTTTATTTGTAACAAATAAAAGGAACAAGTATTGTGTTTTAGACAATCTGATATAACCAAGTAACTTACATGTTTGATAATATCGCTTTCGCGGTAATCACAAATATATGAAGGTTTGCCTGATTATTAGTCCAATGGAAACCTTGAGCGTGATCTTGAACTACGAAATTTCAAATTTGATTTTAGTGACTTAAAAAAATAAAGACTGTTCCGAAGAAATAAATGCATGAGGAATTGAAATATTTAATTTTTCAATCAAATACTCCACAAATTCGCTGGCGTACTTAGTTAACGTTTCGAGGGTGATACGGTCTGCCGCCAACCATTGTTTAAATGTTATATAATCTATGGCATTTCAAATAATAAATGTAGACTTTTTTAAGTTCCAAAGTGCCGGAACACATTCAGCATTTTATTAAGTAACAGTAAGGCTGGGCTGGATTGCTAGCAGCGTCTACATGAGCGGGAGGGGTAGGAACAGTTTGCATCCTATTTTTTGAGAGGGTAGGGGGTAAGCTGCTCTAATGGGGTGGGATAAATTATTTGGGGGGTTACCTATTAAATTTTGAGATGAAATAGGACAAAATTTATTGCTGTAAAAATTAATACTTTTATTATAGTATTATTATAATACAATTCATCGCAGTACTTGTCCCAATCTAGGATTTTGTATAAACATTAAAAAATATAATGTCTATCTGCAAAAAGCTATTTCCGGTTTTCGGTAATAAATTTATTTATAATATAATAAATTTTATATCCTATTAAAGGGATATTCTAGAGCTATTTAATAAAATTTAAATTATGTCTTTAGCTTAATTACTTTTTGAGATATTTAAAATTAAATATAGTGTATTTTCGAATTTCCGCGTTTCTAAAGATGACCACATCTCATAAAGTAAGCTGAGTTGAAAATTAAAATTATAAATTTTCACTAGTTAGTGTATATGCTACCATCATACAAATTTTTAAAAAATTCGATGAGGGCGGGTTGAATCTTCAGTTGATTTGATATGGAATACAACATATATAAATTTATAAGATACAAATTTAATTTTGTTTAAAAAGTAATTACCTTGCGTTGTGTTTATATAATATGAATATTTTATCTAACTTATTAATATATTTAAATAATAAATTTAAAATCACTGTTTTACCTTAAAGGTTTGTATTTAATGTGATCTGTATTAACCTAGAATTAACGTTTCCGTCGTCACAAGCTCCATTAAAATAACTTTCAGGTCCCATTAAAATAATTGAAAAATAATAGTACCAATAATATAAATCCATATTAAAATAACTATAATAACACAATCATAATAATAAATTTTGAACAAAGGAGTTGGTTTTCGAACATCACATTCATCTCAATAAAGCCATAGTGATTGACATCATATTGATGTTTGACATGTATAATATATAAATTTTTCATAAGATATTATATAAAACTAAATATATAATATAATCTACCAATCTACATTTAAACATTATTTGATTGACATTTGATATTATATAAAGTTATATAATGTAAAAATACAATTACAACAAAAATATAATCTCCATTTCTTAATAAATATATTGTCATCCAAAGGTCAAAAGTTAAATTTATTGGAAGATCGTAATTAACAAGTATGAAGTTGATTTGTTCCTAAAATAATCGTTAAAAACTAGCTTGTAAACATGTAGTTTTTCATAAAAAAATAATGCTTAATATAAAATAAAAAACTTGATTGGACATTAACCCTTTCACTCTCAAATATACTTTTTGTATTTATATTTTTCAAACATATTTTTTTGCTATACAATATCTAACCCCTTTATCAATATAGTATATCATAATAACTCAGAGAAAATTTTATCGCGCACCTTTGGATGAATTTTTTTATTGCGTGAGAATTTTAGAGTGAAATATTGGAATAGTAATTTTCCAAATTAATTTTTCCGCAAAACTTTTACAAAAATATTATCATAAGCCTATTATCGCGAAGTTATTTCCAAGAAACCGGAATCGCCAACACTTTAGAGCGCGAAAACATTATACCAAAAACTTTTTATCGCAAACATTTTTCGAAATTTTATCATAAAATATTATTGCAAAATTTTAGCCAGAGAATTACCGCAAAATAATGAATATATTACGAATACATTTATTAATAGAAGAAACAACATATTCAATGATAATTTACCTCTCATATTTCCTTAAATCAAAAGAACGAAATATTTTACGAGTATTTTTTTTTGCTTATATAATATGTGCGACCTTTTTTGATATGATAAAAGATAACTTAGAAATTTTTAATCTCCTCTCTCCCATTCATTGTATTAAAGGGACATTTTGTGTCCTTTTTACTCCGATAAATTGACCTTCCTCCTTCCTTCCATAAATTTAGCAAAATTTAAAAAAAACACGGTTTAATTTTAACAAATATTACATGATTATCATAATATTCTGAACTATTAGAATATTTATAGGATAAAAGAATTATATTATTTTACTGATTATCACCTTTTTTTGCTCATAAATGGCATAAAGGTTTGGACATCTATTAGCGAAATCTCAGAGTTTAGGCAATATTTTTCTAGCTTAATAGATGGTTTTCATACCATAAATAATCAAATCAATGTTTTATTTAACTTTGCGGGTAAAATAAATTCATTGCATCTATAAGACATATTAGAAGCATATTAAACAATAATAATATTAGCTACTTATAAGAGTATCAGTTGTGACTACGCGTCGAGGTCATCAATCTTTTTAAAAGCTAAAAAGGTTTCAGCGGATATCTGATGAGAATAAATTGCTCATATTAACTGATAACAAGAGTATATCAAACACAACTGTGTAATAACCAGGTTCACTAAAATTCTAAATTATATTCCCACTAGTGACTGTCATTTGACGATAAATAATATACATTGCCAGATGGTTGTGACATCATTGAAAAAAAATCATATTTTTTAAATTTTACCACTCAAAGAATATCCGGTATAATAGAAAGGATTTTTTATTAAATGCTATTAAAAAAGGAATTTCCTAGATTATTGTTTATTAATTTAAAATGTTTACAAATTAAAATAACATGTTTTTGTTTTTTTTTCTAAATTAGTTTAAAAATATTCAGGCCATGTTAATTTTGATTATTTTATGTGCTTATTTATTTTAAAACTCAGTTCATGGAATTATTTCTAAAATTTTTTAGCAATTAAATTATTTAGTAGATAAAAAAAAATAGAAAATTGGGAGGGTGGGGGGGGGATCCCTAGCAAAATTAAAATTTGTAATTTTCGCACTCTTCAAAATTTTGACCCATCTCTAGCCCACAATAATACTTTGATATAATGTTATTGAAGTATATATTTCATATTTATAAATCATACTATTTTTAGGATTACGATTTCATAATCATAACAGGAAAATTTCAGGATCAACTAAAAATAAAGGTAAATTTTTGATTCATTACCCATAAATCGCCCTAATAAATATAATATTAACCCTACCAATATATTTTCCCTTTTAACCTTACTTTTACCTTAATCTCGTTCAAAAGATTGGTTTCAGAATCTTTAAGGGGGATAATAAATAAAATCATACTTGTCTAATTTGAAAAATGTATTGTATGTAAGTTTAATATCATAGAAATCTTAGTTTTTCATTTCAATAAAACTTAACCGATTTTTAAAAAAGGTCTACGACAAAACTATAGTCAAGCAAATATTACCCAAACTTAAAAATTTTGTCAAAAGGGCCATGCTTCTAGGCTATAGTCGTTTTTTTAATATTGGCAAAATCGAGCTTTCTAAAGACACTAGAATCCTACATATAAAAGAAATAAATATAAAAAAATTATAAGTTCACCATTTCAAAAGCATTTCTTCATTTTTTAAATAAAATTAGTGTCTTCAGGGGAATTTTTGTCTTATTTCCATACCTGAGAGTGTGTCCTGATTCGATTTATTTTGATACTTTTATTGGTTTGTTTTAAATGTTTTGTGGCATTTTTTTGTTCTTCTATTACTTTTTAATAGTTATAAGTCCAACCAGAACACATATAATACTTATTTATTCACATCAATATCAATTTTAGAGTAAATGTTAAATTGTTATCACTCTCATGTGTACTTGGCTAAATCATTAAGCATTTGCAGGAAAAAAAATCATCTTATGAACTTTTTTAAAAATGTATTTCCACAATTTTACTAAATAAATAATTTTCCTTTATATACATATAATAATAAATAAAATGAATATACAAAAAAAATATGTATAATATTAATCGTTTGTTTAATGTTCATCTTCAGTCAGTCCTGGACAATTACTTTCCATATCATCAAAATCTATTTATAAATACACTTTTTAAAAACTTCATATAAAATATCATACGATTATATTTAACTCCACACCAAAAGCAATAATTGTAAGTGGTTCTCATGTAGGCTATAATATTTTCAAACTTTTTTTCCTAAAAAACAAAATATTAAAGTATGTAAAAATTTAAATTGTGATTACTAAATTCAATTTAAAAATATATTTTGATTTTTTTAAAATTTTTTTAAATATTATATTCTTTTTTAACTATGTAACTTGAATACATATATTCCAAATCATTTGTATTTTGGAGTAATAGTAGCTAAAATTATATAAATTTCTAAAACCATAGATTCTATGGTGAGTTCTTCTTCTGATTCTTGGTCATCAATTTCACTATCGGTAAATCTTTCTTTGTCATATAATTCATCAAAATCATCATTAGATTCTTTGATAGGTTGTGTTAGATTACCATTAATATTATTTGGTACTGTTATATCTTGATCTAATTGCTAATATTATATTGATATAATAATTGCTCACATTAAATCAAATAAAATAACTATAATTTAAATTATCTAACTATCTCAAAACAAGCAATTTTTTCCTATAACAGCTTGAAGAAACAAAAATCAGTGTAAAACTACCAGCAATTCATTTTATATAATTCATATCTAAAGAAATTTAATATGAAAAAATTAAGAGCTACCTTAAAGTAAAGTTGTTAATAATGCTGTTACTTTTTTACAAGAAAAAGAACGCCAAACGTTACTTCAAATTTTTCTTAAAAAATATGGAATAAACATACTTTATTGTAATATAAAATTACTTATTTATTTTTAAAAATTTAAACGGAGTTTTTAATTCCCAAACACCAAATTGTTTCATTTTTATTTTTCAGTTAAGATAGATCAGAGACCTGCAGAGGCACCATTTGCACGGCCCGGCCCGGTTTTAAATTTTTTAGGCCCGGCCCAGCCCGGATATTTTTTAAAAAAAAATTTCAGGCCCAGCTCGGAATTTTTTAAAATTATATTCGACCTGGTATATACAAAAATTCACCTATGAGGTATTTTACCATATTTTTCAGCGAGTATTATCGCTTATTATTTAAAAAATACATGAAAAAAGTTAATATTTTGAGAATATTATATTGAATTTATAAAAATTATAAAACTATTTATAAAAATGGATATTTTGAGCATATACTATATTTTTTGCATTTATAAAAATAAAACTAATATTCATAAAAATGGTAATAATATTTTGAGCATATACTATATTTTATATTGCATTTAAAAAAAATAAAACTAATATTTAATTTATAAAAATGGAAAATATTTTGAGAATATAATATATTGTATTTAATTTACTATTTAATTTATAAAATAAAAATAAATCGCTATTTAAAAAAATGCATGTATAATAAATAGTATTTTGAAAATATAATCTAATTGCACAATATTAATATAATTTATTTTATAATTTTTAAATATTTTATATTACATTTATAGGTTGGTTTTTTAGGTGTAAATTTTTTTTATTAATTTTCATGGATTTACCATCACATTTATGTCTTTTTAGATGTGATGTACCATGTTTATAATTATAAGATAATATACTTGAACAATTCTTACATTGTACGTAGCCAATGTTTTTTTTATTTTCATCTATGATGATGTTAAATTTAGCCCATATTTCAGATTTTAAATTATTATTTGTATTTCTAAAAGAATAAATATTATTTTTAATTTTATTAATTATATCATTAGTATTTTGTGCCATGATATTCCTTTATTTGATTGTTTTGGTAAATATTCTAAAAATTTAGATATGAATTATAAAAAATATATTATTAATACTTGAATATTGGGGCTTATTTAAGATATTCCTTTATTTGATTGTTTTGGTAAAATATGTTGTAAAAATTTAGATATGAATTATAAAAAAATATATTAATACTTTGAATAAATTTGCAGGAAATTAATAATTAGATCGATCTGTGGGTGTTAGGTGTGTTAACCATTACCCAATATTATATTAATCATAACTATAATATAATATAATGTTATAACCATTAACTCATAATGTAAAAATTTTTATAAAAAATATTAAGGCCCGACCCGGGTTTAACAATCTTAGGCCCGGCCCGGATATATTTAAAAAAAATTTTTTTAGGCCCGGCCCTGGCCCGGGCCGGGGCTTAGGGCCGGGCCTGCAGGTCTCTGAGATAGATAATTAATGAATCAATCAATGTATATAAATTTATATCCTTTATTATAATTTATTTTTATAAAGATTGTTATGTTAATTGTAAATTTTCTTCAGATGAAGAGTAAAGCCTGCCTTTACTCCAATAACCAATAACGTAAACTAAGGGTAAAAAGTTTACACTTTGTAAATGTAAATTGTGTCCCAACTCAAATATTTTAACCTTAATTGTGGAATAAACATGGACTTCCTCCAAACTGTGCAGCCATTAAGGAAAAAATGAAATATCTGATTTAACTAGCTATAAGATGAAACTCTTTCTATAACTCCGAATAATTAATATAGTCTTATTAGGGAGAATGACCAGAAATTTAACTAATCTTGTGATAAATCACAATTACAGAGATTTTAAGATGACTAGTAGTTCATTGATGAATATTATGATTTTATAGGTTATGGAACCTATTTTTACGGTTCTTTCGATTTTAGAGAGAAGAAAAAATGAATTTAGAAAATCTCAATACCATGATAATTATTATAATATTTAAAAAATGGCTTTAACTAATTTAATTTTTTAAGCCACTCATTAATGCAATTCTGCAAGACAAAGATAAAAGGTATAAAGTTGAAGTATTGTTCATAATTTATATTTTGATAATATTTAATTTCAATTGAATATATATTATCAGCAATAATCAAATCAGATTGGCCCTCGTAAAATTAGATATTAGAAGGAAGGAAGCTAGAACTTATTTCTTGTTTAAGAAAAAATAATGACAAAGAAAAGACAAACTTGATTCCTTTAAAAAATAACATGTACAGATTTCTAATAAAGATATTTAAAAAAATTAAATGAGAATGAAGATTCTTTTGACGATGAACTAAGCTTTTTTCAAAATAAATTCTTTAATAAATTTCTAGGGCTGTGCCGATATTAAATATCGGATCGGCAACGATATTTAGCTTTTTCCAAAAATATCGGATCGAGCCGATACCTGTAAAAAACCAATCCGATCGTTTTACTTATTTTTTTGTTATTTTATGTATATTTATTTTACATTAATAATATTTTCTAAATAATTTTTTTTTAAATGCAAATGCACAACACCTCTTAAATTTTATTTATTCTTTAAAATAGATTTATAGTATTTTAATTTTTTTTATAAAAATAGAAAGGAAACACCCAAAGTTTTATTTATTTTAAATCTTTTTAAATAATACAACCAATTTTATTATTAATACTTTAAATAAAAAGAATTTTTTTAAATATGGTATTTGAATTTATTTTACAAAAGGCAAAGATAATTTTGCAAAATTCGTTATTTGCGGAATTCTAATTTGACGGGGAGGAATAATAAAAATTTTATTTAATACTATTAATATCCGTAAACTTTTTTTAATTATTGTAGAAATAAAAAAATTAAATGCATAATTCGATTTTTTGCATAAATAATATTGATTTCTTAATTACATATGGTTCAAATCAGGGTAGTGAAAAGCAATATAAATATCGGATCGGTTTTGAACACATATCGGATAGGAGGTGAAAAATATGTGGATCGGCACAACCCTATAAATTTCCCCTATTAAAATTTTTATTTATCTAATATAATACAACCCTCCCATTCTCTGTGCCAGTTGAATGCGTGTTTAGCACAGCGAAAGCTCAATTGAGCACTAAGCACTTTTGTTTATCTGATCAAAATTTTAAAAATTATAACAAACATATATATTATTTGTCTATTATTTTATTTATAAATTATACATAGGAAAAAATTTTTATAAAAAGATACCTTATATATATTATTTTTCCATAATTTTATTTATATTATATAGGGAAATTTTTTTTGTATATAATATTTAATTTTTTAAGTAATGAGTAACCTATTACTTTTTTGAATAGCCAGTAATGGGTGTTCCTTTTTTCACAAAGCGATTAACAGTAAATCTTTCCTTTTTTCAGATGTAATGACATTTCTTTTAGTAGCATATAGCACTACTAATTATTCTTTATTAATAGTGAGCAATATCTCTAACTTTAAATATTTTATTCAGCTAAAGTGAAATCTAGTTTTTAGAAGGCTATTACCTCAGCCTCTGGGTATTTTTTGTAAATATAGTGCAACTTTGAAGAAAACAGAAATAATTAAATTAAATCATGTCTTCAATTACATATTTTCTTCAGCAAACTCTGTAGAATATGCCAAATAAGCTCATCTATACCCAACCAAATTATTAAATTATATCATGGATTCAAATCATAACAAATATTGGAAAAAAACAACGGTTACAGCATTTATGGTTCATAAAATATAATAACATTTCAGTTTGAACCTTTTCACATACAAGGGTATTGGAGTTATTTTAATTTTATCACTATTCCCTAACAAATAATATTGTTCTGAAGATGCATTTCAGTCAAATTATATATATAAGGAAAGGAATAAATTTTATGATGAAAACATTTCTATATGCTCAGTTGGCTAGCTGACATTAAATAACAAATAAAAATGAAAACTGATTATTAATCATCTTCAAAGAATTAAAATACCAAAAGGTTCAAAGGCATTTTTAGAGGTTTAGTTTAGGTTTGGCAACAAATTTTTTAGGGGTTCAGATTCAGTATAACAGTTCAGTTCAGATTCCTGAAATGTAGAAAATAACTCTGGGTGAGAGTCATGTTATATACATGCTAATGAAATAAATTCCCCTAATATTTTTTAACCCTCCTGCCTAGCTAGAAAAAAAAAAGTTTTTTTTCCATAGGGATTTATATTCAGCTTAGTATTCTGATAGCAGAAGTTCTGGTAACTCCAATCAAGTATGAAAACAAGAATAAGCAGAAATGTACGGATACTGATTAGCCAACATTTTTAATTTTAACCTATACCAGTGGCCAATACTTAAAATGTGATAAATAACTTTTATAAATTAATAAAAAGTCTGGCTTATTTTTAAATTTGCAAAAAACCCCATAAAATATTTTCAAGCTGATAAAAAATAATAATAAAGAAGATGCTGTTAATCCATATATCTCTTTTGATATAATAAATTAATTCTAAAAAATATGAGATTATTAAATTATATCATTCAATAAATAAATATTCTATTTTATTAGTAAGAGATAGTGGGGGTATCAGTGCATCTCTAATAAAATGGGAATCCTTCCTTATATTCATTTATAAGAATAATGATATTAATTCTTTAAAATATTACAGTATCTTCTTCTAGATTATTGCAAATTCTTTTAGATTTTTCCAGTAATGTTTTCAATTTTTTATATGCTAGTTTTTCTTTTGATGATTGTATATATTCATTTACAAGGTTTTTGTTTTCAATTAAATCTAATTTTAGTTTTTTGGATTGTAAAGCCTTATATTTTATTAACATGTCATTTGCATGCCCAATACCTTTCCTATCACTTTTAATAGAGAATGATATGGGTTCAATATTCGATTTATCTATAAGGTTATTTGATAAATGTATTGATAATAAAAAATAAACTTTTTTTCCCAATTCCATCATCTGGTCTATAGCCCATTTTTGAAAGTAGTTTAAATCCAATATTTTCACTGGATAATGGTATTTTTAAATAATGATCTCGATTAATTGATTCCATATTTCCTAAATTTTTTATTTTCAAATCAGTCTCTTTTTTTCTTTTTGTAATTATACACTGCCGCTTCTGTTGCTTATTTAACAAACCAGGCCTAATTGACTCTCTTTAATAATTAAAATATTATTTAGACATCATGAGATTATTTTACGTATTTAAAAGAAAAGTCTCAGACATATAATCATCTTCCTCCTCCATCGCAAACCAAAAGCTTAGAAAAAAGTTTCGACCTAACCTTTATAAGGTTTTGACTATTTTTGAGAGAATGCAAGACATCAGTCATTATATAACAATTTTATAAATAAACCCAAGTTAGCAAGATCTTCCTTATTATATATTATTCATGAATAAAAAAATCTTTAGTATAAATTTAATCCTGAAATATATCTAGCATTGTTTTAGCTTTATAATAACACCTGGTTCGAAGTGGAAATGAATCCAGGTCATGCTGGCTAAGTTTCCTCATCTAAGGTCTTAGCATTTATGAAACCTGCATGATGGAAAGTACGCAAAATTTTTTTGTATGAGAAGTTTGGGGAAACGCGGCCATTCCCCATATATAAAGTATATAGTATCTACACCAAATTTTTAATTTATTTATAGTTCTTACTATAAAGCTTAATTTGTAATATATATTTTTTACATACATAATTTTCACCTTTTTAGAAATTTTTTTATACTATATTATTATTTATTCTAATTTTTTTCCTCTTTAATTTATACATAATTTTCACCTTTTTAGAAATTTTTTTATACTATATTATTATTTATTCTAATTTTTTTCCTCTTTAATTTATAAATAATTGTTCATTCATTTAATAATAGGGTTACTTAATAATTAAAACTTTGATTATATAGATCTCTCGGTTCTTAATTAATCGATATTACTTAAAATTATACGAATATAAAAGTGACTCAATCGCATTTATCCTATAATTATCACTTAAAGATTTGCTTTTATACAATAATATTTAATATTTTTCAAGAATATATTTAAAGTGGATTATTGCAATTAGGAATATTGCATTTAAGTGACCAACATTGCAACAGTTTGAATTGTATTATTCAGAGTTGTTAAAGTATCCAGACATAAAAATCTGCTATCTGTATTTAGATACTATTTTAGAGGTACCTATATCGGGTTTTAGATAGATATATTCTGATATACTTTTATTTAACGCCTTTAATATTAAAAATATTTGAATGCTATTCATTTTATTTCATGACATAAAATTTAAATAAATGTTAAAAAGATAAGACTAATGTGATGAAGAATATATATTTATATTTCTTTATAACCTATATATTAAAACTTATATGCAAAATATTAAATCTTATGTAAATATATATATAAATATTCATTAAATATAAATTTTTTCTCCCCAATTTAAATCTATAGATATCAGTTCGAGATTACGAAAGATATTTTATCATTTAAAGAAATATGACGCTTCTTAATTATAAAAAGCAATTAAGCAAACAAAATAGGGGTATTTACATTTTATTATTATTTTATATGGTGTTCGATTTGAATGAGAACAAAATATAAAAATATTGTTTATATATTTTTTGCCCTCATAAGTATGAAAAAATAGTATTCGTTTACAGATACATTTGTAATGTTTTTTTTTATCAAGATCCATTTTAGACGAAGTATATGTATGTAAATTCATTTAAAAAGAATCTTTTAACAACTCTGGAATTATTTAGGTCGTGTAGTATTCAAATAAAATATTAACTTTATATTGAATATCTTGTAATTCTTTATATTCATATTTTATTGATTAATGACCTTATTTTATACAAAACAGATTTTTTTTTTATAAAAATTATTTTACGATTTTAATTTATATTATTGAAGATACATAATATATATTACATTTTTATAAAAATGGACATAAAATTTAATAAAATATTATAATAAAATCTTTTCTAAATTATTATACTTATAAAGAGGAGTAAAGAGTTATGAAAGCTCTATCATCTTTTAAACAAAATTCGAAAGGGATAGAGGGGTAGTTTTTATTTGAATTACCTTTTTTGCTAATTTTTATTTTGGAAAGGAAATGGAGAAATAGTCTCTGCTCTGTTTCACATATACAACTCGAAAATAAAAAATTTTTGGTATATATACAAGGATTTATGCATATATCTATTTCATAAAAACACATTTATAAACCAATCATAATTATTTATCCTGTATAGTGCTTTCAAATTAACGTCTTGTGAGACTTAAAATAATATAGTAGAATTTGGTAAACGTTTTTTTGCGTTTGTAATATTGAAAATGCAAAATAGTCTGGTTTTTTAAGTTAATGTTATTTTTTTACATACCACTTTAAAAAAATAAACTACTATATAGGTGTAATATAGGATTTAAGCTATACGATTCATATTTAAAGTGAGCTAATTTTGGTCGAGTACTAATCTCAATTTAAGATTTTGTGGTAATATTAGGAATTAATGTATATCTATGAAGAAAAATGTTTTTAAATTACCATTTTCAGTTTACTATTTTAGGTTTAATTAGCTATTTTGACTATACTAAATTTTATGTAATATTAAATGGCTATTATAGAGCTATATAATAAATTTAAAATAGATATTAGCATAATTATCTTTTGAGAAATCTAAAATAAAATGAAGTTTATTTTTGAATTTTGCCGTTTTTTAGAGAGCCATATATCAACAAGCTGATTTTAAAAGTACATTACTTTTCATAAGTGAGGGAGGGTACCTATTTAAAATACCCGTCTAGCATAAACCTATGCGCTCATGAATATAATAATTTTTTAATTAAATTTTCGGATTATCGCACTGTAAGCGAAAACATGTTTCATCCCACTAAGATAGGAAATTGTTTTAGAAAAGAGCATTAACATTTTCTATATCGTCTTAATAAGTTAAACATGATTATATATTATTTTTTATAAATTTGAGCCATTTTAATAGGGGAGTGGTAGCATAGTTTGATCATAAAAAAATTTGATAATTTTAAGTTTTTAAAATTAATATTACCATTTTCTGAATCCCCTCGAAGAGCTAAAGATGATTCTGTATTCATTTTTTTTTAAATAAGAAGCATAATTACCTGAGATGCGTATTTTAGTCACCAGAAAGTTTTTTTTTTTGATAATTTATTTTTAAAAAATAACATTTTTTATATCTTCCTAATAAGCCAAACACGATTCTGAATTAATTTTTAAAAATTTGAGCCATTTCAATAGGGGATATGTAGTTTGGTCCCAAAAATTTCAATAATTAAAATTTTTATTAAAAAAATGAAGATTACCATTTTCTGAATCCTCTCAAGCATTTAAATATGATTCTGCATTTATTTTTATAATTATCGAGGATGTGTATGGCTTTTTTGGGGGATGCCTATTTTATTCACCCAAGAAGTGTTTTTTTTTATATTTTACTAATTCACCAAAAAATTAAAAATAACATTTTCTATATTCATCTCAATAAACTTAATACAACTCTATATTAATTTTTTTAAAAAATAGTGCATTTATACTATACTAATTTAACAGTTTTTTAAAATACTAAAAATAACATTTTCTATATTATCCCAATAAGCTAAACACGATTTTATACTACACTTTTTTTAAATTTGAAAATAGGGGATGTGTAGTTTATAGTTAAAAAATTTTTTAAAATTATTTTTAATATTTTCTGAATCCCCTCTAAGAGTTAAATATGATTCTATTATTTTTTATATTGGTCTTCATAATATAGGGGGTGCAAGTTTCATTGAAAAAAAGTGTTTGTACAAAAGCCCACTATTATAAAAATTTTAATTAAATTTTTTAAAAGAGCTAAACATAATTCTGTTAGCAAATAATTAACAAGGATCTATATTTTAGTCATGCAATAAATTTTTTTTTAAATTTCATTAACTTATCAGTTTTTTTAAAATTAAAAAACATTTTCTAAATCAACTAGCTAAGCTTAACATGGTTCTACATTAATATCGAGACCTGCAGGTCTGGCCTGTATTTTAATTTTTTAAAATATACTGGGGTCAGGCCAGAAAAATTTTTAAAAAAATCTGGGCTGAACCAAACAAATGGTAGTACCTTTACAGGTCTTTGATTAATATCATTAAATTTGTGATTCTATAATATGGAATGTATTTTAGTCATACGAGATAATTTCCATAAAATACTTGAAAACTTATAAGAAAAAGGATATTAGCATAAATATTTAAAATGAATGTTATATAGTAACATGTAAATATTTTTGAATATAACAATTATTTCAATTTTCTATTTATTAGATTTGATCAATGACACACTGCAATTCCATAATGTTTCTCATTTGATATTTTATATGTTAATAATTCCCTAATTTCTTTTATATTTGATAATTTTAATATGATTTACTTGATAGTTTACAATAAAAAGTTGTTTGTATGAACATAAACAAATTTCAAATAAATAATAAACAAATTTTTTTACATTTTTTTTTATTGATCCATATTTTAAAAATACTAACCAAATTATTAATTTTTTTGATAATAAAAATACTGCTTATTTTGATAAAGTTACTGACAAATAGATTAACTTTTAGATAATAAAAATATTGCCCATTTTGAATAATTTACTGCCAAAAAATTCATAGCCTTTATTTAAATATTTATGCTGTAAGCTCTTCATTGTCAACTTTTATAACCCTTCTTCAATTTTAGCATGTAACCAAATAGTTTCAAACAAAATATTATGCTTATTATATATATAAATGATTTATACAACACAAACTTCTTAAGATTAGTGTTTTAAAAACTCTGTGTTCATTTGACATGTAGGTATAAAGAAGAAAATCATATAAAATAATATATTACTTACCTACTTTAAATTGTCATATTCTAGACTCTATAACAAAATGTTAATTTTATTTATAACGATATAAATAAGTATTTTACATCTATATAAAAACGAGGATTTATTTTGTATCTTTTGACATTAATCTGAGCAAATTATTGTTTAATTTTTCATATTTTTTAAAATCTTGTAGGTAACGTGTCTTATATTGCCAACACTAAAATTTATATTATGCAATATATTATAATATAAAATACTTCAAGATCATCTGTAACTTTAAACCAAACTTTACCAAGCTTATGAATGTACTTTATTGTAAACCTTGTCTTTATTTTCAACATATTTTAATAAGATATATATATAAGATTGATAGATTACTTTGCTAGGATTCTTATTGAAGATTTCCTCCACTTTTTTTTCAAACTGATCCCATGTCAGAACGTACACCATATTTTTGAAAATTATATACCTAAAATAGATGGAGCTTATATTTATGATATAAATTTATATTGGGAAAAAATTTTGTAATATAAAATTTTTAAATATAGGGAGATTCTCTTTTGCCCTCACTCCATAATTTTTTAAACGGTTCCTGGTTTTAAATGCCATTTAATTGCTAATAAAAAATGTTAGCCCAAAAATGGTTATGAAACGTTCTGCTTAGAAATGACTTTAGATTGTGCCAAGGCCGGACAAAGGTATGACTTAACAAACTGTACTTTAGAATTTGGATCACCACTGCCAAAGAAAGTTTTAGTAGAATAAAAAATCGGGTATTTAGAATAGCATGTATGGTTTAGCATGTGATTCAGGATATCCATATGTACTTCAACTTAGGTTCGATTCTCAATGTGACAAATTTTTCTATAATCTTAGTGATTTTGTTTTCTATATCGTGAGTATGATACACAACTATGAAGCTATTATCTAGAAGTGAAATGCCCATTTGTAATAGCTTTACTAGGAGGGGGGGGGACTTGAGCCCCCTAAATATTTGAAGAGCCCATTCAAAATTTTAAATTTTTTATATACCAAGTGTAATTATTTTAGAAATGTTAGCTAAAATTGGATGATGTTAGCTAAAAAAAGTTAATTTTGATAATGTTTTTACCCCCATAAATTGTAAAGGCTAGTGAAACCCATGCTCATTTGACCTTTTTAAAATTTTTGAGTTAGGAGTGTTTAATGGATTAATTTTCAAAAAATATATAAATAAAAGTTAAATTAAAAAGTATTAATTTTTAGGGACCTTAGAAAGTCAATTTTGGGCTATTTCATTAACGACCTGTTCTGCAAGTATTTTAAATTTTTTAAAAACATTACGATAAGAATATATGTAAAAACATTAATTAATTTGTAACTTTCTTATATAATTTGATGATTCATATTAATTTTTAGCATAATTTAATGATTCATATTAATTTTTAGCATAATTTGATGATTCATATTAATTTTTAGGATAATTTTGTATTTATTTAATGATTCTCATAAAAAGAAATGGATATAGCATGCGATTCAGGATATCCATATATGCTTCAACCTAGGTTCGATCCTCAATGTGACAAATATTTCTATAATCTTGGTGGTTTTGTTTTCTATATCGTGAGTATGATACACAGCTACGAAGCCATTATCTAGAAGTGAAATGCCCATTCGTAATAGCTTTACTCGGAGGAGGAGGGGGAGGAACTTGAGCCCCCTAAATATTTGAAGAGCCCATTCAAAATTTTATTTAGAAAAGCTACCTAAAAATTGGATAATGTTAGCTAAAAAAAGTTAATTTAAATATTTTTTGAGCCCCCTTAAATTGTAAAGGCTAGTGAAACCCCTGCTCATTTGACTTTTTTAAAATTTTTGAGTTAGTAGTGTTTAATTAATGGATTAATTTTTAAAAACATAAATAAAAGCTAAATTAAATAGTATTATTTTTTAGGGACCTTAGAAAGTCAATTTTGGGCTATTTCATTAACGATCTGTTCTGCACGTATTTTAAATTTTTAAAAAAAATTACAATAAAAATGTATGTAAAAACATTAATTAATTTGTAACTTTCTCATATAATTTGATGATTCATATTAATTTTTAGCATAATTTTGTATTTATTTAATGATTCTCACAAAAAGAAATGGATAATTTAGTACGAAGATGAATACATAGCTTTGTTTAATGATACTTACATCTTGATTTTATCAAATAAGTTAGTAGCAAAAATCCTTCATGTAATTTTTCTATCATGTTAGTTTTGAATAATAATAATATTGATTCTTCTATAGTATATTTATATGAAAAAAAACCTTTGGAATTAATTTTAGAATATATTGTTACAATTTTGCGAATTTAACCTCGACAAGTAAATGAGGGAAACTGTCTATTTTAGACTTTGGTTGTATCATATATATTTCAAAATCCTTTGAAATATTTTGAATATTTTATTTATCAACAAATGATCTCAATATACTCTCTAGGCGTAAAATTTAACTAGAATGCTTGTTGTAAGATACAACAAACTTATATTATATTTAATAAAAATCATACTAATATGAAGATAAATTATTTTATAAGTGTGAAATATTACAGAAATTATGATTGAATATTTATCATATTCAAAGGTTTAAGATTTATATGTGTTTTTACAGTTTTCACTTATCCTTCATATGTTCTTTAAAAAAAAATTTAGGAGAAGAATTGTATGAAGGCTATAAAATGAGATACATTTGAGCCCTTCAAACTGGACACTCTTAATATACCTAATTCTCATATAAAAACTTCAGATAAATCGACTATTACAAGTTAATTATTTTACATGCTATTTTTTATTGATTTTATGAAAATATTTGAGTTGTAAATATTATATACAAATGCTTGTCATATTTAAAATCTGTATTAAGTATTAAAACCATATTTGTGTCAAAATATGTGATATTATAATTTTTTTTTTTAAAAAATACCCTTTAGGCTACTTTATTTTTAGTACATATTTTAGAGAAATCTTGAAATCATCTGTATTAATTTATGTCTAAAAAAATTACCTTTATACCTTAGATTTATGCAGTGGGACCTATTTGCCTAACAAAGATTTAATTATACTGTTAAATGAATCTCCTATCAGGTAAAATATATATTTATGTCATGATTAAGTATTATATAATTTTCAATTTAATTAATAAAATTAACAAAAAAATTATGATTATATTAAAAAAAGAACTTTTATTTTTAATAAAGTGAAAAAATTTTGTTTATTTTTTTTTAATATTTAACCTAGATTTACATTTGTTTTTTTTAAATTTTCCCTTATCTTTCATTCCCTATTTCCCATAATAAAAATATTCTGATTGGGTTTATGAAACATGTTTTAATAAAAAAAAATATGTCTTAGTTATAAATATTTCTGTACATTTTTATATTTTAAACATTATATTACAATTATTTAAATTTAGTTCAACTCAAATCTATCTATATGTCTCTAATTTAATTTTAATCCTAGAAATTAAACATATTTAGATTAGATAAGAGTAAAAAATTGGTGAATATGAGATTATAATTAATAATATAATAGTATTTCTTGCAACTATTATTTTTAAATTAACTTGCAAACAGGTTTATTTTCTATAAATAATAGGGGGAGAGGGTCAATCTTATATTGAAAATTAGTATCAAATAGTTTTTTTTAGTTTATAAGAAATGGAATAATTATCCGATACATGATAAAGTGCATTTGCCCTCTCAACGTTGTGGGAACAACAGAGCTATGCTAGGTTTTTCTCATTTCCATCTAACTCGATTATTAAAGTTATCGGGGAAGAAAATATGAGAAGCCCTTTATACGTTTATGGGCAAGCGGCACATACTTGTATGCACAATAGTCCGAGGACTATCATTTAAATGTCTGTGGGCTAATTAAGAGGGAAAGGCCTAAAAAGACAGCCCACACCCATATGGAATAAATATATATTGCTTATAGATTTATTAAAGAAAAATGTATTTTTAAGAATAATTTGTTTTGGCCATTTTTTTAGAGTATTTTTAGACCTATTTATTTTATCCATAATTGACTATTTTACAACCTACCTCAAGTTTTTAAAATTTAGTTATTTTAAATAATTATGATTTTATTTTTTTGTAAAATGGCATGGCTTATAGGAAATTAAAGACGTGGGAAGTGTACAGATCTTAAATGAGATGATCCATTTTATGATTTTACAACTGGTTTTAATTGATAAAATTGTAAATTTTTAAACAAAAATATAATTACTCAAAGTTTTTAACAGAATTTTTTAGGCCTGTCCAGAGAGCTTTAACTTTCTTTAATTTTTGGTTGGACCCTAATTTTTTTGCCCTTATATTGCCAAATTTAGGAGTGTACAGTTTTTTTTAAAGTTGTTATGCTATGCCATTTAAAGAGCATGGCATTTCTATATTTGTTTAACCAACAGCAGTACTTATATCATTTATGATAATACTAATCAACCATTACATACGATATTTTTATTCCATTAATTAATTTTTATTCTCTCTATTAAAAAATTGGCTTTTAATATTTCATTTTTTAAAAAATATATTGAATATTTAGTTACTGGTTTACTTAAAATGATAGACTTGTTACTCTTTATCACAGATATCAATAATTTTATTTTAAATATGCTAAGTCATATACCTACACTTAGATGGGAAAATATTAGTTGGAATTTCAAGTAATTGTTCAGTCCATTAACAATTTAAATGAGGCAAGTATAGTCTTATAGAGTGATACACAGTATACTCTTTTCCCAGAATGTTAGAGCACGTTAACACTCGCCTGGCACTTATAATTTGGGTAATCAAATTCAATAGAGGAATATCGTGAAAGAAATTTAAGATAAATATTTTTTTATGGTATAATTTGATCAGAATAATGGTTGGATAATTTTTAGGCCCTGCTTGAAAGTTGCAAAACTTTTAAAAGTTTTCGTTCTTTTAAAAAATTTACATAATTTAAAAAAATATTTGGCCCTGTTTTCTTAAATTTTTTTTTTAATAGAAGCTTATTTTTAGTTTTTCAATAAAATTTTCAAAGATTTTGGATTTATTTGATAACAGATTTTAGGAAATAGGTGATATTTTTTTTTATTGAAGGGGAAGAGGGTCAAATAATGGTTACTCGTTATTTTTTAATAATAAAAAGAGATTAAATTTGATAAAAGTAACATTATCGAATTATTATCATTTTGTTGCTTGAAATGTTAATTATTATTCCCTTAGGCATGTTATATTTATTAGATTTCAAAATTATAGGAATTAGTCTCATCACCCTCTTTGGATGAACTAATATTTTTTGAATTATATCTAAATAAGTTTATGAAAATAGAGATGTATTTACTAAATGTTACACTCATAATGTTTAAATGATTTTATTCTGTGGCTATTGATGGACGCCTGATGACATGGAAGAGGGTACAACTGCAAAATGTTGATTGCCCCCTTCCCCAAATTTGAATCAATAAATATTTTTTAAAGTTTGATAAATATTTTCAAACATTTTTTTTGTGGATTTTTTTTAACCAAGATTTTGAGCAAAAATATTTTTTTGTGATTTTCAAATCATGAATTATAATCACAAGTTTTTTTTACAAAAAAATAGTGGAATTTTAAGGTAAAATTTAATTAAAAGTCCTGTTTGAGCATTCTCAAAAAAATCTTGAGATCAAACATTTTTTAAGATTTTATAATTTTGAAGAGCATTTCGAATTCTGGAATTAAAATGGTTAAATCTAATTCGCGTTGCGATTTCTTTCGTCAATAACCTCGCGATTCAGGATTTTTTCTTGATCATGCATTCGCCTCCGATATTCTATATAGTTTCAGAAAATCTTGTCCTTGCTGAATTTGAACCCAAAACTATCGAAATAGTGATACACGCACCTACCAAATTCACCCACTAGGCTAAAGGCTCTATTCTAAAACAACAATTTTTTTTGTATATAAGGATAAAATTACGACACTATCTAATATTTAAAAAAAACAGATAAAATAAAATAACGTACAACGCTATGCATCATTACCAGTTATATTTATGAAATGTGATTATTTTTAGAAGGTTGAATATTAGAAAGAAACAAGATCACTGGAAAAGGAAAACGAATAATTTAGAAAGTATTATGAGAGAGAAAACAAAATTAAAATAAATAATTGTAATAAGAGAGAAAGTTATTTTTTTCAAAACTTAAAGTATAAAGGTGAAATTTGTAAAAGGTATCTAATTTTAAATAAAGGTGAAAAAAGGGTATTTTTAAGTTGTGTTATAGATAAGGTTAGATAAATAATAGAAAAAGTGAGAACTTCTATTGTAATATGGTGTGTAATAATTTTTTAATTTATTACAATTTTAACAAATTTAATTTTAAATGAGTTGTGCAAGAATAATAAGAGAATAATAATTAATTTTTATTATATTATATATTAAACAATTAAGTTGTATTTTAGGTTAAATAATTCTTAAAAAAGTTGAAAATAAAGATTAAAGTTTAAATAAATGTGAAGAAGATAACAGAAGAGGTAAAAGAAAAAATATAGATAATTTCATTTAATTTATGATTCGTGAGGTAAAAAATTTTTTTTAGAAAAATAATGTAAATGATAGAATAATTGGAGTTTAAAATAATAAACAGTAATGTGTATAGATTAGCTCTATAGCTCAGAAAAGATATCTACACTAATTACTAAACTATTATATTTATTTTAAATTACAATATGTATTAATTTATATGTAACGTAAATCTTTTGGATTCTACTCGGGAGGACGTCCGATTTTGATAAACTTTTTCTTTCTTGTTCTGACCAAAAAAATTTTAATGTTCTTTTCCTGATCCGTTCGCAGTTGTGAACGTTATTTTTTATACTAACACATTTTATCAATATCATTATTAAATAATGATTACATCTAAATATATTAAATATCTTCATGATCTTCCTTATAAATTGTACGTTATAATGGAGGTATAAAAACTTGGGCATCGAAAACACATTTCACATTCACTCGACTAAAAGAGACGAGACAATTGAGCTTATAGTTAGGATTTGTATTAAACTAGCCACATTGGCCAAATGAACGAAAGGCCACCCGCGCTCAAGTTCAAAATCTACTTTTAGATAATGATAATTACTTTATTACCCAAATATACGAATCAAATAATTTAAATAGTTTACTATTTCAAAAAAGACACAAGAAAATAATTTCTTACGCCTCATTTATAGTAGACGCGTTTTGTTTAAACGGTGTGGTATTTAACGCTCCGTTATTTGCAAAATTAAGCCAATAAATAGGTATAATTTATAAATAATGAGCGAAACGATGAGAATGCTTCATATTTATAAATGATACCCATCTATTGAATTAATTTTATATATAACTCACCATCACCGCCTGAACATAACGCCTTTACTATATAAATGAGTCCTTACCGAAAAAAGAAAATCTGAAAATGTAAAGGTCCGATAAAATAGGAGAAATATCAAAGGCTTAAGAAAAAGTTCGATCGAAAAGGAAAATAATGAGTCCATCAAAAAGTGAAATTCGCATTTAAAAAAGATAAATAGCTTTATTTTTAACATTATTTATTAATTTAAAAAAAAGCTTAATTTATAATATTATTATTTTTTTATATAAATTAAGAAATCTTATTTTGCTTACGTTTATGAGAGAAATTAATTAATCGTTTGGTAATGTAGAGAGAGATTAATCGTTTGGTAATGTTAATGATGTACAATTTTTTGTTTATATTATATATAAATTTGATGCCAAACGATAAAGTATAAGATATTTATTTATTATACTATATAAAAATAAAATATACAAGTAACCAGTGTTGTTAAAAGCTGCTTTTAAAAGTAGCGCTATCACTACTGCTACCGTTTAAATGAGTAGCCCGCTATTAGCTACTTTAAAAAAAGGTAGTTACAACTTTTTAAGCTAATCTTGAATTTTTGTTTAAATATTTTTTAGGTAACTTTATTTCCATAAAAAAAATATTAGTATACAAATATGACTATAATTTCTTTTAAACATAAATTTATTTATACTTTAATAATAATAACATTTCGATACCGTCATTCCCAATACTAAATAATCGTTCA